TTTTAGTTCCAAGATCTTTATACTTTTAAAATTTATAGAGGTTCCCGAAAAACTTTTGTTCATTTAGGTTATATCTATCAACAGTTACCATATTAGAAACTAAAAGTGATAGTTTTAAATCTATTCTAAAATAATGACAACCTATTACCCATTAACATATTATATTTTTATGAAAAATAACTACACATGGATTGAGTATCCCTTATCCAAAATGTTTGATGGGAGCAGAAGTGTTTTAGATTTCAGTTTTTCAGCTGAGCATCCTATCCTGAAAATCTGAAATCTGAAATGCTCCAAAGAGCATTTCCTTTAGTGTCCTGTCAACATTAAGTTTTAGATTTTGGAGCATTTTGGATTTTGGATTCTGAGATTAGGGATACTCAACTTGTATTCCCAAACAAAACATAACAAAAACTTTAGTGAGAAGATGGCTCAGGTAATCCTCTCACTTCGGCCTCCCAAAGTGCTGGAGATACAGGCATGAGCCATCACACCCAGGTATACCTGATTTTAATAGTTATTTTCCCCCTTTACCTTTCCAATGACATGATTTGAGAATTATATTATATATTATACACTTGACTGTAAGAAACAGAGATCTGACCAGACATAGTGGTTCACATCTGTAAATCTTAGCCCTTTGGAAGATCAAGTTGAGAGAATCACTGAAGGTCAAGAGATCAAGACCAGCCTGAGCAACATATGGAGACCCTGGCTCTAAAAAAATGTTTTTAATTAGCTGGGTGTGGTGGCACATGCCTGTAGTCTCAGCTACCTGGGAGGCTGAGGTGTGATAATCACTTGAATCCAAGAGTTCGAGGCTACAGTGAGCAGTGATGAAGCCACTGTACTCCAGCCTGGGTAAAAGAATGAGAACTTGTCTCCAAAAACAAGAGAGGACCACCTTTAAGTTATGTACATTGAGGGTTGTGTTTTTTTTTTGCTTTTTTTTAGAAATAGTCTCACTCACTATGTTGCCCAGGTTCGAGTGCAGTGGCTCTTCACTATAGCTCTGAACTAGGCTCAGAACGATCTTCCTGCTTCAGTCTCCCAAATAGCTGGGACTACAGGTACACACCACTATACTCACATGTATGTTGGTTTTTTAGACATAATGCTATTGCACACTTAGGAGTCTACAGCCTAAACATAACTTTTTTTTTGTTTTTGTTTTTGTTTTTTTTGAGTTGGAGTCTCACTCTGTCGCCCAGACTGGAGTGCAGTGGCCGCTCTCGGCCAATGCAGCCCCGACCTGCTGGGCTCCGGTGATCCTTCCACCTCAGCCTTCCAAGTAGCCAGAATTATAGGCATGCGCTACCACGCCCGGCTGATTTTTTTGATTTATTGTAGAGATGAGGTCTTGCTGCCCAGGCGGGTCTCAAACCCACGGGCTCAGGCAATCTACTCACCTCAGCCTCCCAAAGGCGCAGGATTACAGGCTGAGCCACCGAACCCGGCTAAACATAACTTTTATATGCACTGGGAAATGAAAAAATTTGTGTGATATCGTATGGCTTGATCATAGCTCACAGCCTCGAATTCCTGGGCTCAAATGATTTTCACATCTCAGTCTACCAGGTAGCTGGGACTACAGGCATGTGCCACTACACCCAGTTACACTTATGGGCCAAGAATAACTAAACTCCCCTACTTAAAAAAAAAAAGTGATGATTTTAGTATCTCAATTTCATTTCACAAGTGAGAAAACTAAGGCCCAACTTTACAAAGCAAGTCAGGGGTTCTTTTCACTGAAAAAGGAATTTCTTGAAAAGCACTGCTTTGTAAATGCAGTCTTCAATAGTTCTTACCGTGTTCTAGGCACTGTTACAAATGCTTTACTAACAGTAACTTACCTAATCCTCACAACAATGCCGTGATTTAAGTATTGTTATCCTTTAAGAAAAGGAGGAACATGAGGTTCAGACAAGCTAAGTAAATTCCCCTAAGTCACATGGATTCTAAACCTAGGCAGCCCAGTTCTATTGTCTCTTTAGTAGGAATTTAAGCTCAAATAAGTGGCATTATTTATGCCTTTCTTAGCAATCTACAAATGCGTACTTTGTGTCATGATGGAATAGCCTCTTAAGTCTCTCTCAAGCCTAAAATTCAATGCCTGCCTTTCTGATAACACCAGTGGGTTCCAGGATACTAGTGTCTAAACTTAGTTTACATTTAATCTTTAATTAATCTCCCTTTTGAGCCCCTTTGCCATACCCTCTGCCAGGATGTAGGGCTGTGGTTACATTATGTCATTTCTCCAACACAATCCTACTCTCACCTTCTTGCCCCATCCCAGCCACCACTCTTGTCTACTTTCTTTTTTTTTTGAGTTGGAGTCTCACTCTGTCGCCCAGACTGGAGTGCAGTGGCCGCGAGCGGCCACCACAGCCTCGACCTGCTGGGCTCCAGTGATCCTTCCACCTCAGCCTTCCAAATAGCCAGAATTACAGGCATGTGCTACCACGCCCGGCTGATTTTTT